CCGCAAAGACAGATTAATCAACACTGAATGCTTTTCAAGCTTCTCAGCAAGTTAATCAATGGGAAATCGTTCAAAACTGACCGTTTGTACGACAAACGGAGTGCGGGTTGCAGTATTGATATGTGATTGGATATGATACTTGTGGTTGAGTTCATGCTAAAACTGGAGGTCATCAAAACCGGAAGCTATGCTTTAGATCTCAAAATATTTTTTCATAATCCATAATATTCGTGTTTCTTCCATGATGTTCTAGGGAGCCTCAAACGTACCTCTGGAAGAGCTCCTGGAATACTAGTTCTTGACACAGACTGAACGGAACCTGCTGTGGCTGCTGATTCACTTCTGAATTATAGGGAGCTAGAAAAGCTTTAGCAAATCAATTGATGTAAAAATCGACTCACCGTTGAGGGAGATCTCCAACTTCATCAGCTTTGCCTTGGGAGGGAGTCTCTTCACCATTCTCTGCCTCAACGTCATCCGGATTCTGATCAGCTTCATTGACTGCCCGAGAGCTCGGCAAAGGGGACTCTTCGCCTCCCTTCTCGTCGCCTTCTTCCGGGATCTCAACGTTTTCTTTGTCTGGCGTTCTTCCCTCGGAGAAGTTCTGTTCGCCATTGTTCTCCTCTTCTTCACCGACATCCTGATCAGCTACTGGAGATGAAGGGCCATTTTCCTCAACCTTAATTTCTGCTTCATCGGGATTCTGGTCAGCTCCCTCATCCGTAAGATGTGTTCGATCCTCGCCCTCGTTCTGTTCAACTTCCTCTGCTGTCGGAGAGCCCGCTAAGGGTGTACCTTCACCGCTATTCTTTCCGTCTTCCTCTGCATTAGCGTCGGCAGCATCCAGTCTCTGATAATGGTTCGAGCGGCACTGCTGTGCTCGACTTTTCTAGACAAGATTTCTGGATTATTCCCGATCTCATTTACCCGCAGTTCTCCTCCTTCTGTTCCTGTTCCATCTTGCTCCATTGTTTCAGCGATAGGATCGCCGCTGTCGCTAGCCTTACTACCTCTCCCTCCCTCGGATGGTGGGCGACTTCCGACATTTGCTCCCTCTTGTGCCGTAGTCTGCTTTAGTTCTATCTTTCCCTCAACGTCGTCCTCATCTTCTTCAGCAGCACCCGCCTGGTTGTCAGCTTCAGTATCGTCCCGCCGGCCAGTTTCAGTTTCAGGAGTTTCTATGGTCTTCTGCTGTTCTTTGGTGCCTTCAAATTCTTCATATTCCAGCGGTTCCTCACTTCGTGCATAACTTCCATTTACAGCATATTGAGTCAGTGGGAATCCATGTACTGTTTCACATAACAGACTGCGTGAGCATTTGATCACATCCTGCAATATGGAATCTATAAAAGAAGTTCACACACTGCAGTAAGATCAGGTTTGACAACTAACTTAGGAATCCAGGAAGTGGGAGGGGATGGAGTAGGATTTTCACCCTACAAAGGCTTCTGCACATAGCTACAATCGCAAAGCAATAACTACCAAACAGCGAGAGGTAACCAAAAAAGTAGAGAACCCAGAAAAGTGATCAAAAAATCTAGTTCTCCAACACGATTTCCCTTGAAGGCACCTTCACGATTGTGGTATGGATGAATCCTGGCCAACTTGGGACGCCGGGTAGCATAATGCCTCGTTTATTAGTGCACCACTCCTTTCCAAGATGGTTCCGGTGAGGCGACGTCAGTGGGAAAGTTACCATAGTGGGACCAGCTCCCTCCACAGGACAAGCTCTTTGAGCAATAAGGAACGTGAGTAGAGAATTGTTTTGTGGAAGAGGGGCTATGCTCTCCATTCACGGCGGATCGGGAGGTGCTTACTTCATCTGGACGTGGCCGCTTGTTCGCTTGTGGTGGAATATTGCTTTTTCGCAACCATTATATTTTGATCATATCTTTGTCCAACACATGGCAGTAGACACTTGCCTCAAATAGAGCTCATGGCAGTAGACACTTGCCTCAAATAGAGCTATCTCTTGAAAAGCATCCTGCGCCACCTTTGAAAGTAAGCAGCTGCCACGCCTCTCATTCTTCGTGGTATCTAGTGTGTTTGAGCTTGGGATGGCTAGGGAAAGAGGGGGCAAAATTGAAAGCCTAGCTTTACATTAACGCAAAAGACGGTGGCTAGACGTTCAGGAGCTTTTGAATGGAAGGAGTGAATAGAGAGCGAACTCCAAGATTTCGGGTGATGTGCACAACCCTCTCCTTTGTTGAGGGTTGTACACACGAGGAAAGAATTGAGGTAAGAGAATAACTGAACTTGGTGAAGATACAAGGGAAGTGCAGTAAAAGGGAGACGGACGATTTCGCGCGACGCCATAACCTTCTCATTCGGAGGGATTTCGCGAATTTGGACAAGAAACACTACTTACAGAAAGGAGCTCTTTGTTGACCACTACTGCGCACGTTTGACTGAACTGAACCATTAGTTTCGTTGGCCAACCAAGATGTCTCGACGAATCGCAGTAAAGTTGATAGAGCTTCAGACAAAGTTTTTTTTATGGGAACGACGAAAAAGTATAAAAATTTCAGCCAACCTCATCGTCTAAATCTGCTCCATAGGATGAGTGCGACTCATTGTCAACCTGAAATATATTTTATTTTGACTTCAAAAAAATTCAGATTACTGAAAGATGCAAGTAGACCCTAGTTCGCTGCGGACGATTGGGCGTGTCAGTCAGTATGAGTGTGTCACCCCGTCAAAGCCGTTCTCTGCCTTCTTGTTGAACGCGCATGCGACAAAAGTGGTAGAAAACGAGTAATACGAAGGATATGATACAGTATTGTCACTTGCCCGCTTCAACAACTGGTGGAGAACGAGTTTGGCACCGCGCCAAACGCAGCCGCACTGACACGCCCAACCGTCCGCAGCGAACTGCACTATAGAGATGGAAATTTTGACAAACCTCGTCTCCGTCTGCTTCCTGCTTGTCGTTTAGCTCTAGGTTTTCCGGATTTCGCTGCCCATTATTCCGTTCTGAATCACAACAAGGATCTCTCGCGTTGTGGAAGGTGCCTGAAGATGGGAGGTAAATAATTGTGAGTGAAGTCCTAGCAGCGTATACGTAAGTATAAGGAAGTCCTAGCAGGCGACTTCATAATTCTGGGAAGCAGTACAAGTACGACGAAGCAATGTCTGAGGTGGGTGTCTTCTTCAGCCGCCTCACAGCAATCGTGCCCGCCAGCGAATGACCGATGACTAGATTCCAGTAGCAGGAGAAAGTCGATGTGCAATTCACTGTTCTTATCTTCCTAGGGAAGCTGGTACCAAACACCGCTACAGCTTGCATATCAATATTGAGCGAGGGCCCCAATTCAGCCGACTGCTCGAGGCTGAATTACTTGCTTTATACTAATTGTAAGAGGCACCATGTTTGAGTCAACCACGGTCGTCGTGATCCCTTTCTCCCCCTCCTTCCCAACACCCTTGTGAGATATACTTTCATTTTGAACGCCGCCAAGGAGAATTAGGAGATCAATTTCGCATGTCGTCTACACGTCCAGGATCTTCTTTTCATGTTCTTCATGCTTCACGTATCTGAGGCACTTTCAACGAATTTTCACTTTCCCTCATCTAGCTGGTCAACTATTCCTACAGTAGATAGTTTGGTTTGCTTGTTTGTTTGTCTGTCTGTCCGGAAATTCCGTTTAATCTGAAACGTTTGCGATCAAGGTTGGGATGGGGAAGGGCATGGAACGAGAGTTGTGCGTGTCTATGGTCTGTTGAGACCCACCCACAATGCGAGGAGCGTGCCCTCAAGCAGGAGTGTTTTTTACTGAGGTTTAATGCTATAGCCTTGAAGGCAGTTGGCACGATGGTTTCCTAGCCTAAAATGCTAGTAGGGCGCTGTATAGTGGGGAAATGGCGAAAGAACGGAGTGAAACGGTCAAAATCCGGCGAAGAAAAAGCCTCCGTTCTCAGTGACTTGTAAATCGATTTCGGACGAGTTTCCCGTACGCATCTTGCCAATCACCGCTACCGAAGGTACGGATGCATATGTGTACCCGTATATGCATGCAGCATCACGGCCGCTTCATACCAATCCCTTTGCTTTATAATTTGCTCAGCAAATGAATGAATACGAGCGTCAGAAACGGTCGTCCGTTTGTGGGCGGGCGGGCAAGGAAGGCGTTTGGGACGTAAAGTTGTTGCTCAATAGGGCGTTATAGAGGTACCCTCCTTGGAAAAGGCTTCACGCAGCCTGTCCGAGGTCACGGAATTCTGTTAAGCCAGTTGTACAAATCCTACACCTGTATAGCGATTTATCGTGCCAACTGCCTTTAAAGGCAGCGCCCGCGTTCATTTGATGTTCCTACGCCCTCCTTAGATATCGTAGCTCTGTCGACAAGGGTGGAGGATGTACTAATTTCGCAGCTCAAAAGTACGAGAGGATGGGGCCACCCGCTTGTGAATGGGAGACCGCCCCGCCCACCTAGCAGCCATGCCTGCTTTGGCTTAGCCTTTAAAGGCTGAGCCCGCTTTTAAGAATGACGAGTCATGGAGCTCATATAATACGTGATCCAGTAGTGAAGAAAAAAGAAAAAATCATGGAAAATGCCCTAAATAGAACCCTATGCTGGCCAGGTGGGCGGGGCGGTCTCCCCTTCACAAGCGGGTGGCCCCATCCTCTCGTACTTTTGAGCTGCGAAATTAGTACATCCTCCACCCTTGTCGACAGAGCTACAATATCTAAGGAGGGCGTAGGAACATCAAATGAACGCGGGCGCTGCCTTTAATCGCCGCTCGCCACAGGTACATCTGTTACCGTTAGCCGATTAGCAAACTGGTCACCTAAAGTCTCGTATTGGATCCCTGTGCTTATTATTTGCTCTAAAAATAGAGTAAATTGAGTTTCAAATAAAGTTGTCCAAACATAATAGTCCACTTACTCCTGCCTTTTCATCATTTGACGCTTTCGTGGCGTGTTGAAGGTCGTTCTCAGTAATGTTGAGTGACATAATCGAAGCCACAGATTGCTTATGAACTGAAAAATTATATTTATGTTGAAAGATTACACTCAGAAACTTGACCAGAACATACATAGTTCCTCCGTAGCATCCTCTTCGCCGACCGTTTTGATTAAATTCGTAGAGGAGTTCAGTCTATGAAGTAGCTGGTTCAGTCGCATACGTGTGGACTCATTTACATCCTAGAACGGGTATTCATAGAACGGTGGAGCAACCTAGAAAAAAGTGAAGGAGACCTTGCTTTCGCTGATTTTCCTCTGCAGTACGCTCAGTTGGGTCTCTAGCTGAGCAGACTTCATTTCAGCTTCGGCGAGGAGCTGTGCCACGGAATCTTCAGACTCTTCGTTGGGCTTCACTTCACTGAAGACATCTTCACTCTTGTCTTCCTGAATTTGGGACGTTTTCGTTGAGGAATATTTACATCAAATGTCTAACCCAAGAATTAGAAGCAGGTATAGTGACCACTAGTGTAATCACTACTTCACAAATGGCTTGGCTATTCCGGATGGAGTTAGCCCACGCCGGATACCGTCTTGTTCTCTGCGGATGCTGGGACGTGTCAGTGGGTTGGGTCTGGCGCGCCGGCCGTTTTTCGCCAACAACCACGGGGCTGGACTGGTGCTGCGCCAGTATAGTCCCATAAAAAACCGAGCGTCTGCAGAGAACAAGAGGGCATGTCTCCTAGGGTTTGGAGCGTTACTCTGGAGTCATGGCATCGCGCGTACTAGCAGAACATTTCCTGCGCCCCTATGTTGCGAACCTGCACTCTTCGTGCACTTCATGGAAAGCATTCCAC